GAGAGAGAGAGAGAGAGAGAGAGAGAGAGAGAGAGGCATAGACGCAGAGAGGGAGGGGGAAGGAGGAGATGGGAGGTGGGCAAGGCCCACCTAAAAGGGAACGTAGGGCATTTGCACGGGAGGTGCTCTTAGTGGCAGCAGCTGAGGGCTTAGCAATCCTGTCAGGCCCCAAGGGTAGACCAGTACAGATGCCTGTGTACTATTACAGGCTGGTACAAGATTGTTCTTTCTTTTTTTTTTTCCCCGAGGTTTTTACTTTTTAATTTACTTTTATGAGTGTTTTTTCTGCATGTATGTCTGTACAGCATGTGTGTATAGTACCCACAGAGGCCCCCAGAGTATGACTACTGGAACTGGAGTTATAGAGAGTTATGAGCCACCTTGTGGGTGCTGGGAATTGAATCCAGGTCCTCGCTGTGAAGCAGCCAGTACTCTAACTGCCGAGGAATCTCTCCAGCCCCCGGTGCAAGATTTAACCCCAATACTCAATGCAACGTACAATTAAAACCTATCAAATGGTTTATTTCTGAAAATTTCCACTGAACATTTCGAGCTGGGATTGGCCGGGGCAGGAGCTGCCCTGACTGGGAGGAGGACCGCGCTGTGTTCGTTCTGGCTCGGCGGAGACCCGAGGACGGTAAGTCTCGCTGTGGTAGCAGAGGAAGTATTTAGTGTGCCTGAGAGAAACGAGAGGTTTTGGAGAGAGGGCAGAAGGCCAGATGTGTGTGGCATTGTAAGATTCTGAGACCAGGAGACTGAGCCCAGCTCTGTTGATGAAGTCTTGGGATAAGGGCTTTCAGACCACCCAAGCCATCTGAAAGAGAGCTACCTAGAAGACACTCAGACAAGCTGAGCTGCCCGGAAAAGGCTAAGACTCACCAGGTTGCTGGGGACTGAACCTGGGGCCTGCAAGAGCAGCAAGTACTCCTAAACACGGAGCTGTCTTTCTAGTCCCAAAACTTGATTCTAAAGCTAAGGAAGACAAATTAACGACATTTATTAACACAGATAGGAAAATACCTTAAAAACAACACAGAACCAACGTAAATGAGGATGCCGTGAGTGGGAGGGGGAGCCGCTTCACCTGTGGGGGGGGGGGTGCAGGGCGCAGGGCTGGGTGTGTCCCCTCCGCACAAGGACAAGGGCAGCCGCTTCACCTGGTACAATATTTCCTCTTCTAAAAGGTTTAACAGAATTGGTTTTTAGATCCTTATATCCAAACACACGTCTTCTAGGTGGGCTCTTTTCATGCGTCCCCGCTAACACCTCCTTGAGAGGGAACAGCCTCCTTTTGGAGACTCCAGGGCACTTTCCCGGGGCAGAATAAACGCTTTCCAACAGCACCCACACGGATGTTTCAAAATCCTGCTGCCTGCTCTAGAAACAGCTGAGTTGCTGTTTATTAAAGCTGCAGAGTCGGTGGCTGAAGCCCTCAAATGATTCCCATGTGGTCCGTTTCCAGCAAGGAGCCCTGAAGTCTGTCTGTCGGCACTCTCCTTTCAAATCTATATGCACTTTTTGAAACATGATTTCTTTGAGTAGTTCTGGAACTCAAAGGCTGGCTATGAACTCAGAGAGATCTGCCTGCCTCTGCCTCCAGGAGTGCTGGGATTGAAGGCATGCACCACCACCCAACTATGAATTTGCATTTTATACCTTGAGACTTAAAAAAAAGATTATTTATATGTGTATGAATGCTCTATCTGCATGTATAAATTTATGCCAGAAAAAGGTATTAGATCCCACTATAGATGGCTGCGAGCCACCACGTGGTTGCTGGGAATTGAACTCAGGACCTCTGGAAGAGTTTTCTTAAGCACTGATTCATCTCTCTAGGTCCTACCCTGAGACTTTTGATGGCAACTGTTCCTTTCAATGATATCAATCTTTTTAAAATAATTATAATTGCTTTTCTGTAGTCTCTTTTTGTTTGTTTGAGAGGGATTTTTGGTGTAACAGCCCTAGCTGTCCTTCCTGAAGCTCACTTTGTAGACCAGGGTGACCTTGAATTCACAGAGATCCGCCTGCCTCTGCCCCTGAGTGCTGGGATTAAAGGCGTGCGCCACCACTGCCCAGCTCTTTTCTGCACTCTTGATAACTCCTGTTTTCAAATCCTTTGCTCGTCTTTTTCCTCTCAGTTCTCATTATAAACATGTCTAAAGCAGTCAGCAGCAGCTGCACCCAGACTAAATGCTCTGTTATCTCGAAGCTTACTTTTACAACAAATTAATCCATTATTTTGAGCCTCACTTAAATTTTTAGGACACAGGTACAATATAGCTGGATTCTGTGTCAGGACATCTTGGGAACAGCCTCTAGTACAACTTGCAATAGGATCTTGTTTTATCTGAAACCCCATATTGACCGTCTGGTCACCCGGACTCCCACTAGAATTTGCCATGAAACTTTGCTTTGCACATTCCGTGGCTGTTCTGTCCTGCGTCTCCCACGTTGTCTGGCTTGTGGGGAGAAGGTCTGGAGATCACACTGTTAGGCTTATCTCAGCCTAAACCACCACATTCACTGGCAAGAACCTCGTGCATGAGTTACTTTTCTTGTTGCCATGGCAAAATAGCTGACAAACTGCGCAAGAGCCAGAAGGCTTATTTTGGTTTCTGAGTTCATCACGGTGGGGAAAGCATGGTGGTTTAAGTGTTTTCATACAAGCTGGTAGGAGTGTGAGGCAGAGCTAGTCACGTGACAGTAGGCAGGCTAGACTGCAAACTAGACCCAAGGTGCCTTTAACCGTTAGAAATTCACCCCTACTGACAGCTGCCTGAAACTTCGTTACCCTCCTAGGGACAAGCAGTTAAAACATGAGCCAAATTATAATAGTTGGTGATGGTGTGTATCCCTGTGTGTGTGTGTGTATGTATGTATTACATTAGCATACATATGGGAACCACAGTTCTAGGTGGTTTGTCCTGAACCCACCACAAGCAAGCTCAAAGAGGTTGTAAGAGGCTGAGCAAGCTGAGTGGACATTCCTGAAGCATCTCTAGTTAGCAGTACAGCCAAGCTGGCTTGT